GATTATGCTACACAAGGCTGGATGGGGCATCTAAAAGTGAAAACAGTTTGAGCCTTAACTACCTTATGCCAGTAAACGCCAGCTCTGCTCTGAATCGGCAATACTTATCCTGCCGGAGAATACTGTCCTATTTCGTCCCCAGGGAGGTCTTGAGGCGCTTCGACACATTCCCTCTGGTTAAATGAATGTTGACGTTATACGGCTTTGTTTGTAAGATGAACAAATGCTGACAACGTGATTACAGATGCCCGGCAGAACTTATTATCCTGTATAAGCATAAATGAAAGCTCATTTGCCTGCATATTTGTTTCATGTCTACTGACTTACCTTGGCATTTAAATTTTTTTTTGTAATGGTTCCCATTTGAATGATATGAGTTGCGCGCTAGCAAGGATCGGCGGATGGTGAATAAACTCACAATCATTCAGGTATCACTTATCCCTTGTTCTCAAATTATCTTTATGGGAATAAAATATTTGCAGAAATACTGTGTAAATATCAAAGATTGAGCAAAAAACTGTCTTACTAGTACATAACACAGGTAAAGTAGGAGAGAAGATGAAGCATTTCTAAACTTCTACTGCTTCTGTCATCTACCCAAAGACTGGCGAGAGGGTGAGTTGCATAGACATGCATTGTAATATATTCCATAACACCTGCAACTCTAACCTTCTGATTGTGCAAATTAATCTGGCATTATTTTATTACTTCATCCCCTGTCACCAAAGCCATGGATCGACTGTGGCTACAGATCGGTACTCCATGTCTCTAGTTTGCCATTCAACGTTGGGAAGTTTCTACATTTTCCATTTGCCTATTAACGATTCCATAAGCCAAAGTTCCTAAGCACATGTGTCTGAGCATACTGAAATTTTGCTTTGTGAATTCCACCTGACAAAGCACAGGCTACTTGCAATTTTCGGTGTGATATTTGGCGATTACACAAGCTCCTAAAAAGAAGCTTGAGTTCCTAAAGCGCTAGCGAGAATGGCTTGTCAAACGAATTCAGAGCAAATAGACCCTCATTCACAGTTGGCTATTATTTTAAGGCATTTTCTGTCGTCAGTAAAAAGTGGAGAAGTTAGTACTTTGAATGCTCCGTTAAAGTGATTATCATCTCAAAGCAGAAGAACATTTCCTCACCCTGAATTTAATAATCAAATGTCCAGATGTTAACAAATATATCGAGTAGCCCCACAAGACAGCTCTTGGAGTGCCCTTGTAATTGGCCCTAGTAGTCGCTGTTGTGTCCATTTCTTGTTCATTAATACGTTTAATGACGTAAGAATAGTCCTTCGACAGTGCTGCTGAAATCCAACCAACTAGGCAAGCATCCTTTTGTGTTTTAATATATTTTTGTTGCATGTAGGCTAGTTTAATAACTTTTAGCAAATTGCGTAAGCACTTCACTACATGGAAAACGAAAAGCAGCATAAGGTGTTAAGGATGTCTTATTTACTGTGGAAAGGCTGTTACCTTAAGGCATTCGTGCATGGTGCCTGACCATTTCCACTTTTATAGCTAACATCACAGACATTCATTTGCAAATTGGGTAACACAACGGAACGCTAGAAAATTAACAAAAATATGCAAGATTGCTGAAGACCTCTACTAAGTCGTCATGATGAAATAAAACGAAAACCCAATTCATCCATACTGAATTAATTTTAGCCTCCATCAAGACACACACGAACACATTCCCTTGTTCTCGTATTATACTCTCCAGTCTTTTAGCCTCGACAAGAACACATTAAGGACAGCAGGCCCCTTTTGTTGGTACAAATCCATCGCAACTGAAGTTGCTCTCAAGCCGAGGTAATGGAGTCTTCTCCTCTGACCCGGTATAGTTGAGAAACAAGTGTTAAGGCCAATAAATCTGCCCCACTGAGAATCCTTGCGACAGCCTTTATTAGCCATTCACTTCGGCTTATTATTTTGATCCTGCTTTCGCAGGCTCAAACTTCACCAAAACTGAGTTTTACGTCACTTCGTCCAGCTGGTAAAAAGATGAGCTTCATTGGAATAGAAAAAACGCACATGTGCACTCTTCTTCTACAGGCAAAATGATGTTCTCAGTCAGGAATTGTTTTGCAAAAACAACTTTTGGTTCATTGTGGATGATCCTAACGACAAAGGGTTTGGATATTTGACATATTGGAATAACCCTGGTAGATGGTCTACTAAACCAATGACTTACTTGACTAGCTGTCCAATTCAAGAATCCAAAGTCTGCTTACTCTTGCACTTTTGAGACAGTAACACTATTTGTAGCCTTAATGGCATTTACATGTGGACCTCTCACCTAAAATTAGCTCCATTTAAGTAGCTCTGATTGTGTGATGGGAGGCACCTGGTTGAATGGCAACTTCAAGTCCAACTCGGTGATGTCAATGGCGCTTTTAATTTGAATGCATAACAGTGCACAGAAATTTCGATGGTGAATGGATACCCCAGCTATTAAATGTGCAGTGATTTGTGAGCTGCTTTTTTATAAGAGAGCATACTTGACCGTGAATGATGAAGGCTTGCATAACAGTCCTGCATAAAGAAGTAGTGTTTCACTGAGGTTAAGCATGCAAGGACTGTGCCATACCCACTGCTCTGATCTCATTCGTGTGGATGATTTGAACCAGGCATCAACGTCGTAGGTGATTTGTCCATGCGTCTATGCCCCTTGCAACTTTGTTCTCAGTGCAGTGCTCGTCAGCCATTCCTACCTTAGTTCTGTTGAGCTAACAGAGGAGTGAAGGAATTATTGCCTGTTCGTTTCACTGGCATCTTCATACAAGTGGTGTAAGTAGGTCCGTAGTGGCCTTAACCAAATGGTTCATGGCTGGTGCCGCCTGCTGAACACGAGACTGGTGGATGTCATTTTCAACCCACCTGTTATGGATCC